AAGACACCCCTGCACCCTACATCCACACCCACACAATTCAACCTACAAAAAGACACCACAACTCACAAAGGTGCCAACAGGCCTCTGCCTGGAGTGACAGATGTCTTTTCAAGGTGTCCAGAGGCCATTGTGTGTCCCGCCAGTGCTGGCCCAGTGGACTGGATGCTAAGAAGGTTATCAATGTAAACGAAACAGTAAAAGAAAGTCTTTTCAACTAAGCTGAAAAACTAGATATGCACATATGGAAGAGATGAATTTTTTTTAAGATTTATTTATTATGTATACATTGTAAGAGGGCACCAGATCTCATTACAGATGGTTGTGAGCCACCATGTGGGTGCTGGGAATTGAACTCAGAACCTCTGGAAGGTGCTCTTAACCTCTCAGCCATCTCTCCCGTCCCTGAAGAGATGAGTCTTGACCTCCTCCACATCTCATATGGAAAAAAAAATACAACCTCTTCAATTACAGACCAAGACATAGGAGGAAAATATAAAGTAGACAAAACTTTCTTTAATCCAAAAGCGTGTTCGAAGCCAGGCCTGAAGGCATAGGCTGGTAATTCTAGCAACTCGGGATTCTAAAAGAGAGGATCACCAATTCAAAGCCTGCCTGGACTATAAAGTGAGCTCAAGGCCAGATTAAATAACCTAGTGAGACCCTGTCTCAAAGAAGGAAAGAAAAAAACATTTTTAGGCCTGGAGAGATGAATAAGGTACTTGCTACATAAGCTTGAAGACCAGAATCCCATCCTCAAAACCCATGTAAAAATCCAGGTGTGGCGGGGGAGTCGGGGCTCAAGCCTTTAATCCCAGCGCTTGGAAAGCAAGGGCAGTTGGATCTCTATGAACTGGAGGCCAGCCTGGTCTACATAGTGAGTTCCAGGACAGCCAGGGCTATATAGTGAGACCCTGTCTCAAAAAAAAAAAAAATTTTTTTTAATGTAAAAAGCCAGGTGCGTACACTTGAAATTCCAGTACTGGAGAGGCAAAGAGGAGGTCCCTGGGACTTATTGACCAGTTAGCCCAGCCTACTTGGAGAGCCAGAAGCCAGTGGCAGACTAAGACAGGGTTTCTCTGTGTAAGCCCTGGCTGTTCCAGAACTCTCTCTGTAGACCAGGCTGGCCTCGAACTCACAGAGTTCCACCTGCCTCTGCTTCCTGAGTGCTGGGATTAAAGGCATGTTGAGGGGGTTCCTGCAGGTGTCATTCAGGGAGGAGAACCGCTCAACAAGATAAGAATGAAAACCCGGTGCAGACTGACTTCATCAACCTGGATCAAACTTCAGGGAGTCCAATGCCAGGCAGTTCATTGTCAGCGTATTTAAAACACAGTACAATTTGGGGAAAGGTTTCCAGGCAACTATCAGTCCAATTCTAGATGCACAATAATAAAGCTTAAGGTGTGACTACGTAGACTCCTTTACACAGTACATGTGACATGAGGGTGGATTCTGTAGCTCAAGGCCTAGAATCTCGTGTGGTCTCTGAGGTCACAGGCCATGAAGTACCTGTGACATCTCCCCTAAGGATGGGTAACGGTCTAGGGAGGGAAGAGTCTGGGGTAATCATTCTGGTGAATTGGGGTGAGGTCTGCCTCTATAGCAAAAGGTGGGTGAGGTCTGCCTCCACAGACAGCAAAAATATCACCAGGTCATTAACGACATCCACTCTCAGCATTCTGGATGGAATTTGATTTTTGTTTTTTTGCCTTGTTTTGTTTTTGTTTGTTTGGTTTTTTTTGGGTTTTTTTTTGTTTTGTTTTTGTCTTTTCAGGAGAGGGTTTCTCTGTGTAGCTTTAGAGCCTGTCCTGGATCTCACTCTGTAGACCAGGCTGGCCTCGAACTCACAGAGATCTGCCTTCCTCTGCCTCCCAAGTGCTGGGTATTTGATTTTTTACCTCCTCCATTGAGAAGACACCCCTTTGTGATTAACATTCCTGGCACACACACACACATACATGAACATATAAGGCCACACACACAAACACCCCCCCCCACACACACACACATATGTACACACCTATTTTAAGGGATAAGGGTGTGGCTAAATGATAGAGTAGTTGCCTAGCAGGCACAGAGCCCAACACCAAACCCAGCATGATCCAGAGGAGAGAGGTAGGAAGTGAGCCAGGCATGGTGTTGAGTGCCAGTAAACCCATACTCCGGTGGAGGTAAGGAGGTAAGGAGAATCATGAGTTCAAGACCATCCCGGGCTAGGTGAGACCCTAGAGAGATAGACAGACAGACAACAGATGGATAGATAGAGATAGAGAGACGGAGAAAGAGAAAGATAACATGAATGAACAGAGACTCAAAGCCAATCCATAGGTTGCCATAGACTTAAAAAGAAATAGTGTAACTGCTTTGCAAAATAATTTGACAGCTTCCTGTAGCTGCAGAGAAGGACTAACTTCGGCAGGTCTGCTGGTGCGAGCCTGTAATTAGAATTACGGGGAGTATTTGGGAGGCTGTAGGAGGCTAACCAGGTTAAGGTCAGCCTGAGCTACAGAGTGAGTTGAAGTTCAGCCTGGACAGCTCAGTGACACCCTGCCTCATAATAAAAAGTTAAAGGGGGTGGGGGGGTTGCTAATAGCTCAGTGACAGAGCGTCTACGCATGTGCAGTGCCCACCTTTAGCCTTCAACGCTGCAACATAAAACAAATCCCCCCCCCCACAAGCCAGCCCACCCACTTCTAGGTACTTTCCCCCCCCAAAAAAAAGTGAAAACAGGTGTGCATACAATGAGTTTTAAAGACATATGAAAGTCATTCTTAATCACAGTATCCCCGCCCCAAGTATCTCACTTTGGGGCTCGGAGAAGGTGCCTCAACACCGGCCTGGAGTGTTTAAATGGGTAAGAGTGTGCGGTTTCTCCAGGCAGAGGAAAACCCTGGTGACAGAGGAGACATCAGAGAGACACACTCCAGCAAGAACTAGAGATTGTATGTTGCCTCAGAGGCCATTTTGAGTCCAGCGCTGACTCCTTTCCAAGCAAGGGTTGATCATCTCTGACAGTTTCCAGCTCTGCCTCTCCTAGCTTTAATGTGACCCAGGCATCTAACCTACACTGCCCGCTTCCTAGGTACCCCACTCAAGTCTGCTTGCTCTAACTAAACAACCCAATTAGAAGTTGCCTTGGGGTGTCTTCTTGGCTCTGGTCAAGGCCTACCTGTCCGTCTCCTGGTTGAGGACAGTGAAGGGGAAGGGTCCAGCCACCCCTGCCTTCCCTCGGGTCTATAAAACACCACCCATATTCAGTGTGTTTCCTTGGGTTCCTGCCCTGCGGCTCACATGCCTACCACACCTGACTGAGTGTTTTAAGGGGCAGGGGGCCAGGTTTCTTATAGAGAGGGCTGTCTTTCTAGGAATAATTTAGACACCAGTAAGAGAAGAGCCAAAAGGGCACTTGCCAGTGTGAACCAATTTCCTGTGATGGGGACGTGTGGTCATAGGCCACACACGTAGGCAGCTGGCTGCCCTCCACTGTCCCGTGTAAACATTAAGTCCAAGTCCCGGGCTCTACGAGGCCAAGGCCAGGTATATAACCCTGTCCAGTGACAGACCTCGACCCAGAGTCAGAAGAGAATACAGTCGTCTGTTGTGTTCAGCCACTGGGGTGGATTTCAAAGCTATTGCGCTCCATGAAAAGAGCCAGGCACAAACTACCCTGGCTGACCGCTTCTGTTTAGAGGGCATTCTGGGAATGACAGGGGACAGTAATAGAAATCAGAGCAGTGGATGTCTGGAACAGTGGAAGAAGTCGGAAGGCTGGAAAGAGGACACGAGGGAGCTTGGGGTGGGGGATGAAAACATGTTTCTTGAACTGAGGCATTTGTCAAAAGCCTCAGGTCTCAGACAATATGGACAATTTCTGGCGTTTCTTGTATGTAAATAATTTCTCAACACAGTAGTTCTTTAGTTTCCTTTGCTTTTTGCTTGTTGGCTTGTTTGTTTGTTTGTTTGATTGATTGATTTTTCATGTGAACACTGTTGTGGATCACTAAAGGAGCACAGGCAGGTCACTGTCCAGACCTTACAAAATCAGGATTTGGAAGAGTGGAGCCAACCTCTCCCTACCAGCTGAGTTACTCGAGAGGCTTAGAGAAACTTCGTGCCGCCAGGGGGCAGCATCACAGCCTTCGAGCCACACGCCCCTCCAGCTGTAGGCGGGGATTGGAGGGACCCCCGGAAGCTACAGGAAGCTACCGGATCCCGAGTGGTGCATAGATCCGCGGAGGGGGGGAGCTGTGACGGGGCTGTGACGCGTCCCTGCGTGGTGGGCACCGCATCGCGTGGCTCCGCTCTGCGCACGGCTCTTCTCGCATAGGGCACCGATGCAAGTCGCCCCGAAGACCCCCCCTTCCCCGCCCCGCAACACAGGCGGGGCCAAGACTCCTGCGACCCTTTTCTCTCCAGCCGGCGGTTGGGCAAGTAGCAGGTCCCCGCCTGCACCATGCACAAAGGGACAAGCATGGTCCTGCGTCCTCATGGAAGGCGCTGCCTCCGGCAATTGCCTGGAGGGCTCAGCATCCTGAGAGAACTGAACCAGCAGCGTGCGGAAGGGCCAGTTACTAGTCCCGTTCCCTTAGGCGATCGCCGCGCCTGGCACGGGAAACTCCGCGGCGTTCATCTTAGTTTGGTTTGGTTTTAGTGGGATTTGCTTTTGTTAGGGGCTAAAGAGGAGCCCAGGACCCCATACACGCTAGGCTAGCTCTCTACCCCCACCCTCATCCCCCAGCACAAGCTGATTGTTTCCATCCACCAAAGAAGTGTGACCGACCGAAAGCTGGTGTGGTGGCGCACGCCTTGTAATCCAGCTCTCGGGAGGGCGAGCAGGAGGATGGCGAGTTCGAGGCCACCGAGACCCTGTCTCAAAACAAGCCAAACAGAATGTACGGCGAGAGACGCTCTGGCGTAACCATGCTAGCACTAAAAAAGGAAGCTTATCGGGCACAGGTTGACGAGGAGGGGCTGCTGACAGAACGCACTCACAGCACAGGCAAAGTGGGATCAGTCCCTCGGGAGTCCCCACCGCGACCACTGCAGACTGCGGGACTGGGGGCGGGGGCATGCACAATTGTCCCCATCCTTCTCCGCCCCGCCTAGCGAGTTCTGCCTGATCTCTTGGCCTAATTCCCTGGTGGAAGTCCAGAGCCGGCTGTGGAGAGGGAAGGCCATCTCCCCACCCCGCCCTGCGGTCCTCTGTCCCGCAGGCACAGGGCCTTAGGGCCTCCTCGGGTGCAGGCCCTCGCTCCGGGTGACCCTGGTAGCCAGCGCGGCAGGTGCAGCCCCGAGGCAGCGCGTGGGTGAGTCAGACCCGGCCTGGGAAGAGTGGCTGGGGACGGGATGAGGGCGCAATGGGGCAGGCAAGCGGATCCACCCTGATCTTTGCTGGCAGCCCACAGACCAGCAGGGGAACCAGCAAGCTCACCCGCAGCTTTCCCCCAAAGAGATCTGCAGGCTGTGAGAGCACTGACCGGCCAGGAACCTAGGGGACAACAGGGGACTCATGATGACATTTTCCTGGAAAGGGAGGCTCAGGATACTTTCCATTTTAGAGCACTGGCTTAGAGCCCGGAGAGGCCTAGCTAGGTATGCGTCCTCTCCTGTTACCAGACTTGTCTGGGGAGCCGGGGTTCCTGGGTGGTTTCACAGCCATACTGAGTCTCAGCGTCCCCACTTATATATAGCACAGCAGCAAGGTCTCTGTGGAACTGAAACTTAAATACGCTGCCAAGTGTGGAGAAAGGCGTCTGTGTGCACCGAGAGATTTCCCCTAATTTTAGCGAGGAAAATCAAGCCAAGCCTGCTTTTCCCGCAGAGAGAATGGGACCCAGGAGTCCCTTGCGGGGAAGGACAAGGGAGAGGGGGAACCCTGTAGGCCAGCGCGAAGCTTTCTTCGTGGTGGTCGTGGAGGTCTTTGAAACACAGTCACCATGGCAGGGACAGGTGCTGCTTCTGGTGAAGAGGACATCCTTCCCCTGTCCTCAAATGCCACACATCTCTTCCAGACACCTTTAACCTCAAACCATTGAGAAGCACTGTCAAGATGGTCAGGGCCTTGAATTTTCCTGGTACAAAGTGGAGCTCCCAGCTCCCGTTTTCTAGTCTGGAGCTGCGAGGGTGTGGATAGTTAAATGCCCTAGTGGATGGGGCCACCTCGCTCTCTGCCACTCTCCTGATGTGTTGAACGCAGACGGACTGTTGTGTTCCGTGTCAATCAAAGAACAAACCGTCCCTTCCGGCAACCTAAAGAAGGCGGCTTTAGAGGCAGAGCCCCCCTGCCGAGCTCAATGCAGCCTCGGGGTCAAGGTGAGGGTGACTGAAATGCCAGCTAACAGGAAAATGGACTTAGGAGAGTCATTCTCCTTCTGTGTCGGACCTGGATCCTGGAGACTGAGCGAGTTCTTAGCCTTGAAGGACCAGGAGCATTGGGTGATCGCGCTGGGGCCCTTCTCCCACGTCGTTAAAGATTCCTCCAAACGCTGGGTCCAGGAGGCTCCATCCTAAGGACCTCCGCCCCTCCCATTAGCAAGAACCCAGCAGCTAGGTCAGGAAGATTCAGTTTGAAGGTAGGGACTTTCCCTGGGCTGAGCCACACAGAATTGCAGCCCCCAGAGCCGGTACGGTGCTGCACACACATTGGGCATCAGAAAAACACCAGGTGCCAACCAGGAAGCGGACCCAGGTCTCAGACTCGGCGGGCAGTCTCTTGCTTCATCCCTTCACCGGTCCCACAAATGGTGACCTCTTCCTCAGCCCCCCTCCCCCCTCCCTAACCCACCCCCACCCCGTGCCCGGCGCTGTGGTTCCCGCTTGCTGTACCCCTGCCACCAACATGGTCTGTCCCTGCTGCCTGCCCCGCACCTTGACGGGCCGGTAGTCCCCATCTTCTTGGTCATCGCACGCACCCACTCTCTCGCCCTGCAGTCTCATCCCCCACGTCCCTTTAACCCAACATGTCCCCTGCTCTTTGGGAGACTCACAGTCGGGGGGCTTCGGGAGACGGGAGAAGCAAGGATTTGGACCCGAGCTCGGGGCAGATGTTTGTGTTCAGTTGCGTGAACCAGCAGACTAACCCGGGTTGGGTGAGATTTGCCAGCGCCCACCCCCCCCCCGCCCCCGCGTTGACTCCGCCCCTAGGATGTCTGCGGGAGACACTAAGACCGCTTCTGTAACCTGGTGTCGACCTGGGGAGCTGCTGGGGGTGTGCTCCGGGTCTCGAGATTCTGGCACCTGTGGTCAGTGCCCCCCATCTTGCCACCTCCTCCTGGGGACCTCCTGTTATTCTTGACAGATGTCCTCAGTGGGTCCACCTAAACTGGACTCTGGGCTAGGTCTAAGTTGAAGCCCAGCGGATCCTAACCTCGGAGGAATCTCAGCCCAGTAGGGCAAAGAAATGACCAGGAGATTGGCAAATGCAGTGAGCCGCAGGGTTCCGCACGGGGAGCTTTGCAAGCCGGCTAACAGAGTTGAAGCAAAATGGATCCGAAATCAACTGCTTGCTACCCCTGCCTTATTTTATCTTTTTTTCTTTTCTCCACAATGCTGAGGTAGGCACTCATTCACAGCCGAGATATAAACTGGGGTTTTGAGACTGAATGCTTGTTTTACCACCAGCAAGTGACAGACAGGGCAGGGACTTGAACCCCAAGCTGCCGATGCCACAGCTGCTTTTATGCTCCATGTTATCAGTATAACAAGCAACGGCAGCAGCAGTAAGCAAAACAGCTTTGAGAAATGTCTCAGAATAGAGAAGCTGTAAAAAAAATAAAATAGTGTGGCTGAAGCACCAGTTCCACCTAAAAGGGCTGTCCAGGAAGCAATCTCGGCTCTGCACTGTGCCCAACCCCTGAGCTTCCCACAGGGGTCCCATAGAGATCTGGTCTCTAGCTGCAGTTGGAAAGAGGACACAGCCAGGAGAGAGGGAGCAGAAAGTGAGGGCAAAGAGGTGGACGGTGTCTGCTTCCGCTCCTCTCCACCTCTTTCTCCTTACACAAGCCTGTGTGCCGTGCATGAAGAAGAAGGCTGAGTCCAGCTCCAGGCGACCCACAGGAGGGCTTCAGCCACCCAAAGCCCTGCTTAGCCATCTCCAGGGCTGGGGAATGCCGGGCTACGTGTACAACAAGGTCATAGCACACCTGGATTCAGACAGTGGCAGTGGGATGAGGAGCCACGTTAGAGCAATCTTTAAAGCAACATTGGTGAGGGGTGAAGAAGGGGAGGAGCCCGAGTTGACTCGCTTGGGGAAGCTGGGGCTCTGCTGAGCTGGCTGTGCACAAGGGAAGTCCAGAAAGCTACAGGCTGGGTGCGAGGACCTGTGTGGAGTCAGCCAGATGTGGCCCAAGTCCTGGTTTCACCACTTTAACGGTTCTGTTGGAGCTCAGGCCAAAAGACCGCGGTTTCTCTATAAGGAATAAAGCAGCTGCTGAGATGGCTCAGTGGTTGAGGACACTTGCGTCTGTTGCTCTTGCAGAGGACCCTGGGGGCTCTAAGTTGGATCCCTGTAGATCATAGGCCTCGGGGAATCCCAGCCCAGCAGAGCAGGGCAAAGAAATGATGAGACAACTGCCTAAGTCCAGGGTACCTGACACCGGGTGGTGGCTCACCGCTCTCCATTAACTCCAGCTGTGGGAGATCCTGCGCTCTTTTCTGGCCTCCATGGGCTCTGCATGTTCCTGGTGCATAGACACGTGCAAGCAAAACCCCCACACATGGTTTTTAAAGGGGGGAGGGGATGATAACAGGGCTAAACAATGTGAGAATAAACTGAAATAGTGAGCAGCGCGTGGTGGCATGTGCCTGTAGTCCCAGCTAGCTAGAGAGCTGAAGCAGGAGTTGTGAGCCCAGCCTGGACACTATAGTGAAACACCATCTTCCAAAACAAACATAAAGGAGATCATTTAAGACGGTGGTTTGGGGATAGAGGGGTGCCTCAGCAGTTAAGAGCACTGGATGCTCTTCCAGAGGACGTGGGTGTAATTCCCAGCAACCACATGGCAACTCACAATTGTCTGTAACTCCGGTTCAGGGAGATCCTATGTCCTCCTCTGACCTCCAAGGGCACTGCATGTTCATGGCGCATAGACACACATGCGGGAAAACACCAATACATGTAAAGTTAAAATAAAGCTAAAAACTGTGTCTTAGAATTTCTGTTGCTGTGATGAAACACCATCACCAAAAAGCAAGTTGGGAAGGAAAGAGTTTATTCAGCTTACATTTCCACATTGCTGTTCATTACCAAAGGAAGTCAAAACAGGAACTCAAGCAGGGCCAGAACCTAGAGGCAGGAGCTGATAGAGGCCATGGAGGGGTGCTGCTTACTGGCTTGCTCCTCATGGCTTGCCTAAACTGCTTTCTTATAGAACCCAGGACCAGCAGCCCAGGGATGGCCCCACCCACCATGGGCTGGGCCCTCCCCCATTGATCACTAATTGAGAAAATGCCTTACAGCTGCATCTCAGGGAGGCATTTCCTCAACTGAGGCTCCCTTCTCCCTAATGACTCTAGCTTGGGCCACACTGACAGCTTATGCATTGTGGTCACGCCTATGTGAATATTCTACAAGCCATCTTTATGTGGGTGATTTTGTATGGTATATTAACTACATCCCAATGAAGCTATTTTAAAAAGGAGATGGTCTTGCTGGGCATGGTAGCACACACACGCCTTTAATCCCAGCACTCGGGAGGCAGAGGCAGGACGATCTCTGTGAGTTCGAGGCCAGCCTGGTCTACAGAGCGAGATCCAGGCCAGTCAGGCCTGCATAGTGAGACCCCGCCAAAACAAAACAACAAAGGGGTGGCGGGGTGGGGACAGCCTCCAGCACAGGCTCTTTTCCACGTGGTCCGGTCTGCACAGGATGGCGAAACCGGTTCAGCCACCTTGCCACCAGCAGAGGATCCTTAGATGCAGCGGCCGATCCTGGCAGCACAGCGTGACTCTGAGTTCTCATTGCTGATATTGTTTGCCAGCAACTACGTATTTCAATTATAAAGGAGATGAATGTGGAGGACTGCCATTTATATGAGATGACCAAGCTCTCTCCTGAAATAACTCCTAGAATACCACAGAGTGGAGGGGAGCTACGTTCCTTGTCTCCTATAGGAGAGGGTGGCCTTAGCTCACCACCACGGGCACTATTACAGTCAAGACTGCAGTGCTTTCTTTGGGCTCAAAGATCACAAAGCCACTGGCAAAGCATCAGAGCTGCCTCTGTCCCCACAGCCAGCTGCTGAATGCCATCAACTGTTCCTTCAGAACAGTGCCCTGATCACCAGGAACGGGAAGGATGGTCCTAGTGGGAAGGGGATGGTCCTCACTTGACCTCTGTTTTCCAGATGTCTCTCAGCTACTGTCCAGCATCATTGTATTTTGCTTCCATCTCAGACGTGTTTGAAATTTGTTTTTCCATCTGTCTGATACAGACCCTTTAGAATCAGCCAAAGGTCTGCTTTTTTGTTTGTTTGTTTGTTTGTTTGTTTTTGTTTTTCAAGACAGGGTTTCTCTGTGTAGTTTTGGAGTCTTTCCTGGATCTCGCTCTGTAGACCAGGCTGGCCTTGGATTCACAGAGATCCATCTGGCTCTGCCTCCCCATTGCTGTGATTAAAGGCGTGCGCCACCACCGACCAGTCAAAGGTCTGCATTTGATGATCTATGAGTTTCTGTTTCTTTGAAAATCTTGTTTTGCCCTCATTATTTGTTTGGTTCTGCTTTTTTTTTTTTTTTTTTTTTTTTGAGACACTGTTTCATGTAACCCAGGCTGGCCCTGAACTCTCTGTGTAGCCAAAGCTGGCTTTGAACTCCTGATCCTCCTGCCTCTGCCTCCAAGCCTGCTTCACTGGCTGCCCTTCCAGAGGACCTGAGTTTACCTCCCAGCACTCACATTGGGCAGCTCATAACCGCCTGTAACCCCAGCTCGAGGGTCCAACGCCCTCTTCTGGACTCTGCCAGCCCCTGCACAGACATACATATGTGCACATTATTAAATTATGAAAATAAATCTTCTTAAACAGGGCTTAGCAGATACAGCTCTTTTTTTAATAGTTAGGAGTATGGGAGACAGAATGGACCTGCCACACCTACAGCCTAGAGAGATAAAGATTTGGAGCGTGTGAATCAAGAACAGAAGTTTAAAAGTCATCAAGAGCTGATGCTCGCCTGCCTTGACTCCAGCACTCAGAAGGCTGAGGCAGGAAGATCGGGAGTTCAAGGCTAGCCTAGGCAACACAGTGTCTTCAACGACAGTTTGAGCTACATAATAGGGGTTTGTCTCAAAAAACAAAGAGGGGCTGGAAAGATGACCCAGCAGCTGAGAGCACTGACTGCTCTTCCAGAGGACCTGAGTTCAATTCCCGGCACCCACATGGCAGCTCACAACTGTCTGTAACTCCAGTTCCAGGGGACCTGACACCCATGGCAAAACACTAATGCACATAAGATTGAAAACAACAACAACAACAACAACAAAGACAGAACAATCAGTTCCCTCCGTGAACTTCAGTTTTAGTTCTGCCACAGAATTTCGTCCAGTCCGACTTCCCAGTGGCCTGTCTTACAGATCGGATGTGTCCAGCCAGTCCCTTTTAATGAGGTCCCTCACAATGAGTCTGAAGGTACATTCACTATTGTGGTTCTCTGACACAGGGCAGATCTGCGGAACGGTGGAGCTGGAAGAACAGAACTCTGTGGTTCTGGGGTTAAACCTGGCGTCTTGTGCCTGCTAGGCAAGTGTCCTCTCATCAAGCTACACCCCAGGCCCTTAAAAAACCATTTAAGGGTCTTCATAAGTTGCCCAGGGTTACTTATTGTATAGACTAGGCTGGCCTCAAATATGCAATCCTCCTGCCTCAGCCTTCCAAGTACCTGGAATGACAGGTGTGTGCCACCAAGCTCTGCAGAGGGGCAGAAACTTAAGGGTGAGTTCCCTGAATGGGCTGTGGGATTTGGGGGAAGGGTTCTCTTGGCTGAGTAGGTTTAAAGGCCATAATGACCGTGGTGGCTGTTCTTGTTGTCAACTTGACTCTATCTGGAATGAACTACAATCCAGAAATGGAGGGCACATTTATGACCCGGACTTTGAGGCTGGAAGGCCGCACTTTCTGCTGGAAGCCTATGTAAGGACAAGGGAAGAAGGAAGGGTTCACTCTTCTCCTGCTCGCCCTCACCTTGTTAGCACATCCATTCCTTCACTGTCACTGGAGCTGACTTCTTCGGGATTCCAGCACATACAGAAGATCAGCTGAGACTCCCAGCCGCGTGGGAGTGAGCAACCACTAGATTCTTAGACTTTCCATTCACAGCTGGCCATTGTTGGACTCAGCCAGGAAGTCATTCCAATTATATATGTGTGTGTATGTATATATATGTGTGTGTATATGTATATATATATACATATGTATGCATATATATAATGGTATAATGGAGACTGTGGGGGTCCTGCTTCTCGATAATCCTCTCCCAGGGTCCAGGAAGAATCTATGACCAGCTGATAATCTAATCTTTGATGATAAGAAATGAATCTATATACATGAAACCCCTTAGTCCATATACTTTATTCTTCTGAGTCAGTTCTCTCTCTCCACAGTTTCTATTCTGCTCTCACGCCTAGCTCCTTTTCTTGCCTGATTCTCTCTACATCTTTCTGCTGTCTCCTCTAAGTTCTATCTTAATTCTCTCATCTTAATTTTGCCTCATCTAAGTTCTTATCCATCTAGTTCTTTCCCATCTTATCTCCTCTCCCATCTCCTTCTCTCTCATCTTGTTTTTCCTCATCTTGTTCTTCCCCATCTGGCTCTTCCTCATCTTCCATCTCGTTCCTCTTGTCCTCTCTTGTAGCCCTTCAATCCAGTTCTTCCCATCTAGTCCATTCCTCACCAGTTCTTACCCATTTAGTTCTTCCGTTCTCTTTTCTCCTCTCTGGCTCGTCCTCAAGTTCTCTCGTCAAAATCCTTCTCTAAGTCTCCTTATCCCTCTCAGATCTCCCCAAGTCTCTGAGGTATTCAGTTATAAACCCAAGCAATAGCAATCCTCTCCCTCCAGCTAGGTCACCAGACTTGAATTCCTACAGGGTCATAAAGGCAGGTAAGAATTGTCCTCAGACAGTGACATCAGGCTTTCTTTTACAACCCAAAAAGGGAGTGGTAAAGGAGGAGGTCAACTGAGAGCTATATCAAAAAGGGGATCTATGTGCTGAATCTACATTCCTAGAAGTGGATAGGTAAGAAGTTAAGAGGCTATAATGTTAGTAAGGTTGTATAAGAAAGGAGGGTCTCAGCTTATTGCACAAAAAATAAAGCTAGCTGCCTGACCTAGGAGACAGGCATGTTTCCATAAGGGAAACCTTAGTTCTGGAGATGCTTGATAGGTATTTTAGATAAATACACTGTTAGGAGTTCTTGGAAGCATGCATAGTATACAAGAAAACCATTGTAGGAACCAGCTAATATATATACAAAAGCTAAAAATATCACCAAGACTTCTTAAGCCACGGCTTGACCTTTGGAAAAGTCCTTGACCTTTCCAAGTAGTAGCTTTTGTGATAGTAGCTGGATTCCATTACATTTTCCTGCGGCTTGCAGCATACGTACATACATACATACATATACATAGAGAGGTTCATTCTATAAGTTCTGTGACTCCAGAGAACCCTGACTAATATAATAATGACTATAATCCAGCACACCAGAAGACAAGGCAGAAAGACTATGAGTCCAAGGCCAGGCCAGCCTGAACTATATATCAAGACCCTACATGTCTTAAGGTTTCCTTGTTGTGAGGAGACACCATCACCAGAGCAGAGGTGTGTGACCAGATGGAACCACACAGCAAGTTCCAGGCCAACCAGGGATGCATAGTAAGACCCCCTCTCTCAAAAAAAAAAAAAAGTCCAAAGTCGGTTTAATCAGAGCAAAGTACCAGCAAAGACAGCTCACGACCATCTATCTGTCTTTCATTTCCCCCAGTTTCCAATGTTTGGGATCCCATTCCTCTACAGTTGATGTTCACCACATTCACAGCAGGCCCCTCAGATGTCCACAGCAGACCCCCAGATGTTCACAGTAGACCCCCAGATGTTCACAGCAGACCCCCAGATGTTCACAGTAGACCCTCAGATGTTCACAGTAGACCCCCAGATGTTCACAGTAGACCCTCAGATGTTCACAGTAGACCCTTAGATGTTCACAGTAGACCCTCAGATATTCACAGTAGACCCCTCAGATGTTCACAGTAGACCCACAGATGTTCACAGCAGACCCCCTCAGATGTTCACAGCAGGCCCCCTCAAGGCCGGGGGTTCAGTTTGATGAGGTTTGGGCGCTGGTCTCCAGCCGCCTCATCCTTCCAGCTACAGTAGAGAGAGGCGTGGAAACTTGCAGGCCATTTTCTGACTTGTTGAGATTGAGTTGTTGTTCGTGGTCCTCCTCTTCCTCTTTCTCCTGCTCTTCTCTTGTGAAAGGGCACTAAAAAAGCTTAGAGCCCAGTGTGGGGGTGCACAACTTTAATCCCAGCACTTGGAAGGCAGAGGCAGGCAGATCTCTGAGTTTGAAACCAGCCTGGTCTACAAAGCAAGTTCCAGACAGCCAAAAATGACACAAAGCTGGTGAAGATGTAATTGAATGAGGGGGCCATGTTCCAGCCCCAGTAGGCAGCAAAACTTGGCAGCTTTGGCCATGTTATCCTGGCTTTAGAGTTAAGGATAGAAGAAACGGACTGTGGAATTTCTCTCCACGCCTAAGGAAAGGCACTGAGGCCAGGCATGTGTCAGGGGCATCCCTGAATGGAGGCCTAGAGAGGCCATTTCGTGAAGCTGTGAAGTCAAAGCCTGGACTGCCTTGGAGAACCCAAGATGTCAGAGATGCCAGAGTTGTGGGATACCTGCCGAGGAGAGCTGCTAACAGGGAGTGGAACCAGCCCAGGAGAAAGAAGTGTGCTGCAGTCAACAAAGCTGAAAGGAGTTGGAGACCTGAAGAGTGTTTCGACATTCCTTTAATTCCACTTGGGAGGCAGAATCAGAGGCATCTCTGTGAGTTCGAGGCCAGCCTGGTCTACTTAGTGAGTACAGCCAGGGCTGTACTATACAGGGAGACCCTGTCTCAAAAAAAAAAAAAAAAAAGGAGGAAGAAGACAAACCCAGTCTTTCCCCGATTCCTCTGTTGACTTGATGTCTTAATTAGGGTTTCTGTTGCTGTGATAAAAAATGACCAAAAAGCAAGTTGGGGAGGAAAGGGTTTATTTGGCTTACACTTCAGCATTGCTGTTCATCACTGAAGGAAGTCGGGACAGGAACTCACACAGGGCAGGAGGCAGGAGCTGATGCAGAGGGGGTGGAGGGGTGCTGCTTACCGGCCTGTTTTCCCTGGCCCACTCATCCCACGCAGGACCAATGGTCCAGGGATGAGGGCTGGGTCCTCCCCCACTGATCACTAAATGAGAAAATGCCTTACAGCTGGCTCTCAAGGAGACACTTCCTCAGCCCCGAGGCTCCCTCCTCTCTGATGACTCCAGCTTGGGTCTCGTTGACACACAAAACAACTCAGTACACTTGGATTGTGGGTATGGAGAGATGCCCCCCTCCCAAATGCCCTCTAATCCCAACATCGGCAGCCTCAGTTCTGAAGAACTCATATGGGGACCCAGAGTGCGGGCAAGAAGGAAGAACGGAGGTGTACTCTCCAGCGGAAGGCAGACAGACCCAGCCCGGAATCCACAGCAAAGCGTGGCCTCCAGTGCTGAGACTTGGGCTCCTCCCATTGTCCATCACTGAGGCTGTCTTGGGGATGCTTCCTGGAAGAGGTGGAGATTTTCTTAGAAACCATTCTTTCCCACAATTCAGTCTGACACAATTAAAGGAATACGTATACAGGTGCAACAAGCCATAAAGTGGAGAAGCTGACTATGGAACGGGCAAGGGTTCTTGCAGAATATATATATGTGAAGTTAACTATCCCAAAAGCTTAGAATTTACTAGGGAAAGGACAGTGATGTTTTGTACCTGCTCCTGGAGGTGGGGTTCTTCCTGGGGGTGGCACTTTCTGGGATCCTTCCAGAGTCTGCTGGGTAGAGCCTTGCCCTTCCTACCTGGTCTGTCTCATACAAGCCCTCTTATTCACCTTCCTCAGTTTACCAACCTTGCCATTTTAACCCTTTCATTTTCTTTTTTTAATTTATTTATTATGGATATAGTGTTCTGCCTGCAGGTATCCCTGCATGCCAGAAGAGGGCACCAGATCTCATTATACATGATTGTGAGCCACCATATGGTTGCTGGGAATTGAACTCAGGGAATTGAATTCAGGACTTCTGGAAGAGCTGCTGGTGCTCTTAACCTCTGAACCATCTCTCCAGGCCCTAATTTTCATTTTCTTAAAAATTTATATATTTTATTTTATTTTTTTTACATTTATGAATGTTTTGCCTGCATGTGTACCATGGTGGAGATCAGAAGTTGTTGAAACTGGGTGGTAGTGGTGCACACCTGTAATCCCAGCACTCAGGAGGCAGAGGCAGGTGGATCTCTGTGAGTTCGAGGCCAGCCTGGTCTACAGAGTGAGTTTTAGGACAGTCAGGGCTACACAGAGAAACCCTGTCTTGAAAAAAAACAAAACAAAAACAACACAAAAGAGGTCGTTGGACCCTCTGAGATTGGAGTTATAGGTGGTTATAAGCCACCCTGTGGGTGCTGAGAACCCAATCTGGGTCCCATCACCCCCAGGGACAAGAAGTACTCCTAACCACCCCTAACATTCATTTTCATTGTAATGTGGTTTTTGTTTTGTTGGTTTCTGACCTGAGCTTTCTACGTCTGCCTGAGTGCTGGGATTACTGGGTGCACTACCATGTCTAACTTTTTTGTTTTTCCGTTTTGTTTTGTTTGAGACAGTATTTCCCATGTATCCCAGGCTGACCTGGAACTTGAAATCCTTCTGTGTCAACCTGTTAACCTCTCCCATGCTGGGGTTACAGAGGTGTACTAATCACATCTTATCATTATCATTTTTACGTTGATGTCTTCAGATTGTGGTATAGTCTCCGTCACAGTAACTACCGAATGTCATTCTCAGCAGATGCAGATCTCCAGAGTGGTACCCGTGACAGCCGTGAAGTCATTCCAGGCTGTCAGCCCTGTGTCTGACAATCTGATGTGAAGATGGCAGCCAGGGTGATCTGGGGTAGCCTCGGCCTGCTTCGAGTCTTGTGGTGTCTCCTTCCCCAGACTGGCTACATACACCCAGATGAGTTCTTCCAGTCCCCCGAGGTCATGGCAGGTAAAACCCCCATGTCCTGCTAATACGATTGGGGCACCGGTCCCTATGTGGTGGGGAAGGACATGGCACGTGGGGATGCATGAACGGGCAGAGTTGCAGCCTCTCTGGGATTAGAACTGGAAGTGGGGAGATGGACATTTTCCTCACCTTCTGGAGGATGGTTATGAAATACCAGCCTCTCCCTGTTTTCCTGCTTGGGCCAACAAGTCATTGAGAATGATGGTTCTGCTGGACTTACCAGTGGACTGACTTCAGAGCTAGGCTCTCCCAGGGGCTAGGGAAGCTTGCCTGGCATAGGAAAGTTGTCAAGTTGTTTCGTGTAGGCTCAGGAGGAAGCGTCTCCTCCCTTAAGACCATGTTTAGTCACACACAAACCCTTTTTCTTTTCTTTTTTTCTTTTTTTTTTTCCAAAGGTTTATTTATTTATTACGTATACAGTGTTCTGCCTGCATGTGTCCTTGCAGGCCAGAAGAGGGCACCAGATCTAATTGCAAGTGGTTGTGAGCCACCATGTGGTTGCTGGGAATTGAACTCAGGAAGAGCAGTCAGTGCTCTTAACCACTGAGCCATCTCTCCAGGCCCCCTTTTTTCTTCTTATTTATGTATTTTTTTAGGTATGAGTGCTCCGTCTGCGTGTATGCCTGCATGCCAGAAGAGGACATCAGATCTCATTATAGATGGCTGTGAGCCACTGTGTGGGTGCTGGGATTTGGATTCAGGTCCTCTGGAAGGGCAGTCAGTGTCCTTAAGCTCTGAGCCCTCTCTCCAGCCCTTCTTTTCTTTTTTAAGACATGGTCTATGAAGCCCTGGCTGTACTGGAGCTCACTACGGCCTCAAACTCAACAAGGTCCTCCTATACAAGGTCTCCTGCAGCCCAGGCTGGCTTTGAACTGCCTAGGACCATGAACCCCCGATTCTCTGGCCCCCACTTCTAGAGTGCTGTGATCATGCCACCATGCCTGGTTTACGCTGTACTTGGGATTGAGCCCAGGATTTTGTGCACAACGGGCAGGCAGTTTTTCGTTGTTGTTTTTTGAGACAGGGCCTTACACTGTAGCTCAGGCTTGCCCTTAAAACTCACAGCACTGTTCCTAGCAAGGTTTTTGGGAGTCATCACACACACCTGACCCTGTTCAACACTTCTATCCCACTGGTTGGAATGTATCACATGTCCACATTAGCTAAAGAAACAGCTGGGAAATAAAGTCTGTATATCCGGCCATGTGCCCAGCTAAGAGACCAAAGGAGAAAGGTTCAAAGACCCTTGGCTTGGCTTGGCTTTCTTGCCCTTTTGAGATAGCATCTGTCTAGACGGCTAAGGCTGGCCTCACACTCACTGTGCAGTCCAGGAAGGCCCCAAACTTGTAGCAATCGTGACTCGGCCCCCAAATGTTACAGGTGCGCACCAGCACACTCAGCTTGAGAACAAGAACCATGGCATGGGGGGCCTAACTCCGCCACAGGGCTCAACAGGTAGATTTGAACCGTGAGTTGGAAAAGCCAGTCTCCTTTCCTGTTTTTAGATGAGTCTCTCTCACATGGCGTAGGCTAGTCACAAACTCACTAATAACCTTAAACTTTTGATCCTCCTGCCTCTGCCTCCCACGGACTGGAATTCTAGGCATATGCCACCATACCTGGCTTCCAAGCTCATTCTTGTTGGCAGAATTTTATCCACTTCGCTTATGGAACCCTAGGTGTTTCTAGAGGTCAACCACATTGTCGCTGACAGCACCTTCGTCCTCAACCAGCTGGGACACATAAAATCCTTTTCCTGCTTTGTGTCTCTGCCTGTCTCCTCTGCATGCAGGTGGAGGCTCTCTGCTGTTAAAGGGCTAGGAAGAGAAGACAGCCACCTGAGACTCCCACGAAGTAGCTTTACCCAAGCATGAGTCAAGCCCACCCCGTGCAGTTCCAGGGGTTGCCCACTAGGGGGCCGTGCAATCCTGGTGCCAACCCAGAACTCTTCCCGGCACAAGCCTAAGCTTGGAAGTGGCTCACCCCTGCCTCTCTCTCTGCAGAGGACATCCTTGGAGTGCAGGCTTCGCGGCCCTGGGAGTTTTACCCCAGCAGCTCCTGCCGCACCGTGGTCTTTCCACTGCTGACCTCTGGCTCTACCTTCTGGTTGCTCAGGCTCTGGGAAGAGCTGGGGCCCTGGCCTGGTCTGGTGAGTGGCTACATGCTGCTGGTGGGGCCCCGACTCCTCCTCACTACCCTCTCCTTTGCCCTGGACTGGGCTATATACTATTTGGCCCCCGTGTGGGGGGCAGATCGCTGGAATGCCATGTGCCTGCTGTCGGGGTCCTATGTCACCCTGGTTTTCTACACAAGGACCTTCTCCAACACCATCGAGGGACTGCTCTTCACCTGGCTGCTGGTGCTCGTGTCCCCTTATGTGGCACGGGGTCCCAAATCAAAGACGCCTACCCCAGGTCCATGGTGGCACCGCTGCCTTCTTGGCGCTATCGTGGCGGCTGGCTTCTTCAATCGGCCAACCTTTCTAGCCTTTACTCTGGCCCCCCTCTTTCTCTGGGGCATCCACAGGGCCTCGGAACCTGGCGTCAAGGCCTTGATCCGGGAGGCCCTGGCGCTGCTGCCGGGGGCTGCCCTTGCTGCCACGCTGTTTATAACCACGGACAGCTGGTACTTCTCCAGCCTCTCGACATCCGGGAGCCTTGTCCTCACGCCTGTCAACTTCTTGTCCTACAACCTGGATCCCCAGAACCTTGCAAGGCACGGCACGCATGCGCGGCTCACTCACCTGGCGGTCAATGGCTTCCTGCTCTTTGGGGTATTGCATGCTCAGGCCCTGCAGGCTGCATGGCAGCAGCTCCACCGCTGCCTCCGTGCGCTCCCGCAGACGGGCTTCTTGGGGGTGCTGGGTGCACCGTCTAGCTCCAAGTCTTGTCTCCTCCTCCTCTACTTTACACCCCTGCTCCTGCTTTCTGCCTTCAGCCACCAAGAGGCCAGATTCCTGATTCCCCTCCTAGTCCCGCTGGTTCTGCTCTGCAGTCCACAAACCCACCCTGTACCCTGGAAGGGGACCCTGGTCCTCTTCAATGCTCTAGGGGCTCTCGTCTTTGGCTGCCTGCATCAGGGAGGTTTGGTACCCGGCCTGAAGTACTTGGAGCACATAGTCCACGCGCCCGTCCTGCCAGGCATGACCACCCACTACACGCTTCTCTTCGCTCACACCTACATGCCTCCCCGGCACCTCCTACACCTCTCCGGCCTGGGGTCGCCTGTGGAGGTGGTGGACATGGGTGGCGCTGAGGACTGGGTCCTGTGCCAAGCCTTGAACAACTTCAGCAGACAACCAGCCTGCCACGTGGCTGGTGGGCCACAGCTCTGCCGACTCTTTGTGGTAACTCCCGGGACCAACAGGCACGCTCTGGAGAAGTGCAGCTTTCCTCTCAAGAACGAGACGCTCTTGTTCCCCCACCTGACCCTGGAGGACCCTCCAGCCCTGTCCTCTCTGCTCAGCCGGGCTTGGAGGAACCACCTTAGTCTCCACGTCATAGAGCTGGAGGGGAAGCCTGTTGTGACAGAGGAGCCATGGCCCAGGAGCCAGCCATAGAAGGGGCCACTCTACCTTCTACACGGGCTGCTGGGCTGGGGCACCCGAACAGGCCTCCCCCTGCTGTCTCTTCCGGGCACAGCCACGGGTGTTCCTCCAGGTGAGCCCACATCCCTTTCCCTTAGACACCAAAGATCTGACCAGTCCCGGTCCCAAGGCCAAGGTCCCCAAGGCAACCTGGCAATACCCACTGGCACATGTCTCTTCCCAGGCCGTCACCTCCAATCGCTGTGTCACGGTTCAAATACAGAGTAGCACTGCTTATCAAAGACAATGAATGGCTGATGACATCCCCGAGTGGCCTCTCCCAACTCCCACAATGCCTGACTTCTTGCTACCATGACAAGAAATCCTTTGATGTCCCATCTGGCTTTCTAAGCAAAGGCAGTGTGAAGTAGGGACAGCAGGTAGCTCACATTCAGCTCTAGTCCCCGGTCTGTGACACACAAACTGTGATCTTAAGAAAGTCCCTTCCACTCAGTCAACCCACCACCCAATCTTACAACAGATCGGAGGGTCCTGAGGTCAGCGTCAGCCCTGGAGCCTCTAGCGCATGTCCCCTAGTTTGATAAACACATTTCTACAAGGGTCTGTAACTAGGAAACAGTGGTCCTGTCTTATTTCACGGCACCTTGGAGCCTGTGGACTCAGTGTTTGGGAATAAGCAAAGCAAGCCATTCTAGAAAATACCTCCCTAGCCTCTTCTGCTCCTTTGAGGGCAGTGGAGGGATCTTTCCAGCCATTCTCTCAAAGACTGGGTAATGTAGCTCAGTGGTGGAGTTCCTGTTTAGCATGCTCAAGGCTGATCACTCTCCCACAATTGAACCCAGATGTTCTCCCTTCTTAGTGCTGTTGTGAGGCCTTCTTAGCCTGCCCCAGTGGGAACTGAGAACACAGACTGCTCAGACTCTGGTACTCAGTTTAAAAGCTTTTCCAACAGCTGCAAGCCTTCTAGATGCTAAGGTTAACTGAGGGGCTTAAATAGGTCTAGAAACTGAGTTAGGAGTCTCACAGTGACAAGGCAGGTTACATGCATGGGTTCCCTAATCACAGTTGAGTTAGCTGACCACAGCGAGGACCCCAGACAGACCCTCCAAATAGAGAAGGGGAAACCAAGCATCATGTGCCACGGCATCAGAGGCCTTAGTGCTCAGTAGTGATGGAAGAGCAGCTCCTGAGTAGGGTAAATCCTGCAAAGAGTAGGGAGTGATCAAGAACACAGGCCTTGGAGTCACATGCCTGGGCTCACCTCACTCTGCAAGGCTTTGGGCCTCCATTTCCTCACACGAATGGGGTTTTAAGTCATAAACCACACAGAATGCAACAGCAGATATCAGCACAGACGCTTAACGTGTTAACTATTATTAGCAAGATCCTACAGACTTATCACCAGCTTACATATTTAATCAGATTTTGGCAATCTTTAGGGTTGTCATTCCATCCATCATCTTCCCTGGTATTCTCCTGAACCAGTGCGGATGCAGCAGCATTCATTCAGCTTCAGTCCCGCTTGTAGAAGGCAGGCGCTCTTTCTGGTTGTTTATCCATGGCTCTCAGTCATGCAATGTTCTGGTCTAGTCACAGGACCAGCACGCACAGGCCCATTTGACCGTAGGCATCTGCATGTTGACGATCCGAGTCAGGATTCGAAGCCGTGCACCGTGCCCGAGATAACTCATGAACACTGAGGTCGGTGTAGGTCACTCAAGGGAGGAGGGGACGTGGCTTCGGCCCGGGAGAGCCCAGTCTGTGCTTACGCGTTGGCGCCCGGGCCCTTCTGATGACCTGGGGGTGGTCCTCGACGGTCCCGGAGGCGGCGGCGGAGTTCCTGGCTGAAGGTGTCCTTGAACCGCACGACGCGGCGACCCAAGGAGCCCGGGGGCTGATCCGCGAGGGCCCGCAGGCGGCGGGCCGCGTCGTGGCCGCGCAGTTGCAGCTGCAGCAGCGCGAAGGCCGTGAGCTGCGCCGCCCGCCGGATGGGCCGCGACTCGGAAAGCCGCTCCACCAGCTGCGGGTTGTGCAGCAGGGCAGCCAGCAACCGCCGGAAAACCATCGTCCTCCGAGCTCCCCGGAACCCGGGCCACGCCGCACTCGCCTTCCCACCGGCCACGCCGGCCGACGGACAAGCCGACGCCGCATGATGACGACACAGCCGCCCCAGGATGGGCCCCGACCACGTCCGCTTCCCGCAGCAGGCCGCACACGCTTCCGTTTCCGCCGCCGCCGCCAGGTCCTTCCAGCCGTGGCCGCGTCGTGGTTCGTGTCTCTCTCTGCACCATGTCCGGTGGCCTCCTGAAGGCGCTGCACAGCGACTCCTACGTGGAGCTCAGCGAGTACCGGGACCAGCACTTCCGGGTGAGGCGGGCCGGGCCACGAGAGGGGCAAGCCTTGGGCCCGAATGCGAGAAACGGCTTGCACTTGCCTTACTGGGTCTTCCCGTTTTGTGGGGGGTCCTAGCAGTGTTTGGCGATCACCAAAGCCACTTTATCTCCTAGGGAACTGGAGACCTGTTTTTCCATCCTCTCAATGCCGCTGCTGGTACCAGCACCACGGCAGGCAGGTGCGGGCAGCGCGGTGGCTGTTTGGTGGGCTTGTCTTGCTTGGGAAAGTGGCTGTCACGAAGAGGAGGTGTCCCTGCGGCGGCCGAGCTAGACGCGCTGGCCGTTTTTGTGTTTATAATCAGCCAGACCCTGCCGTTTGGCACGGCAGTCCTTTGGGTTGTGAGACAGACCTACAGAGTTGGCAGTAGGGAGCCTCCACGTTGAGTCCTGTTTTGACAGGCATCACGATGGACACGCCACACGAGTCACATGAAGCTTGCCTGGATGGCAAAATCCAGTACAGCCATTGGCTACACAGAGAAACCCTGTCTCGAAAAACAGACAAAAACAAAAAGAAACCCAACCAGCCGGATTTGAAAATGTATACTGTGTGTCTGGGATGAGTTTCACTTCTACCGCTTTTTACAGTTCTCATTACTTTGAACAGTTCCACATCAATCACTTAACCATTTTGAATATAAAGCATCATGCAAGGTTAAAGCCAGGAGAGGAGTCATTCATTTCTTCCGTCAAAAGCCTGTAGCTCTCTTCCAACAGTAACAGTTTCTGTCACGTGCTTTTTCTAGTGTCTTCTGAATGCAATGTCAAGTGCTGTATTGAGTGTGAAATTAAGTTTCACCGACGCTGTAGACTGTTTGGATTTTACTTGTATCTGAGAAAAGAGCAGCAGTACAAAGTAAATCTGCTAGCCAGGTGTGGTGGTGGACGTCTGTAGTCCTAGCTGTTGTGGAGACTGAGGCAGAAAGATAACAAGTTTGAGACCAGCCTGCACATGTAAAAAGCAAATGGTGAAGGGATTGTTTTCTCTAATGGCTCATCTAAAGTTCTAAGACCTTATGTTCATTTGGTTTGGTGTTTTTGTTGTTGTTGTTTTTTTTTTTTTTGAGACAGGGTTTCTCTGTGTAACCACCCTGGCTGTCCTGGAACTCCCACTGTAGACCCAACTGGCCTCGAACTCACAGAAATCTGCCTGTCTCAGCCTCACAAATGCTGGGATTAAAGGCATTCGCCACCACCACCCGGCTGTTTATTTGTTTGAGCACACAGTGACTATGGTTCCATAGACTTCACCTGTTCAGTCCTGTAGTGGTCTTAAGGCAGTGTGGCAGTAGGGATAAGACCAAATTGTGCTTGTTTTGTGTTTTGAGACAAGGTCTTACTATATAGCCTTGGCTGACCTTGAACTCATCAGAGGCCCACCTGCTTCTGCCTGCCTGCCAAGTGCTGGGATTAAGAGTATACCACCATGCTCAGCCCAAGACTAAGTTCAAATTCTGGCTATAACTCCTGTATTTCACCTTAGGTGACTCAACTGTTTTTTCTCACATGTAAAATGGGAGGGAATGATGCATTAGAACTTACCACATATAGTTCTGATAATTAAATAAAACAACGTATATGTAGCTTTCTGACCTGCAGGCCTTTGAGCCTTCCCCGGGGCAGGCAGAATGACTATTTTATTGTGTACAGCTGCATGTCTGTCTTTTTAAAACTGTAAAGTGGAGGGCTAGAGAGATGGCTCAGAGGTTAGCACAGGCTGTTCTTGAGGACTTGGATTTAGTCCCCAGCACCCACATGATGACTCACAACCATCTCTAATGAATTCCAGGGGATCCGATGCCCTATTCTGCTCTCTGAAGGCATGAGCCACGCACATGGTGCACAGACATACAAGAAGGCAAAACACCAATACGTATAAAATAATAATAAACCTAAACCACAAAACCGTAACTTGGAGATGGGCGTGGTGATCCATGCATTTGGGGGAGGTAGTAGCATGAATATCGGAAGTTTGAGGCCAGACTGGGCTCCATGGTCCTATCTCAAAACACAAAACAAACCAATTGGGCTAACAGACATAGCTCAGTAGGTAGAATATTTGCCTGGCATGCACACATGAAGCCCTTGGGTAGATCTTGAGCTGTACATAAACCTAGAATGGTGGTGAATGCCTGTGCTTACTGGAAGGTGGAGACAGGAGGATCAGAAAATCAGTGTCATCGTGGTTGCATTGTAGGTTCAGTAAAGCCTGAGCTACATGAAACCCTGTCTCAAAAAACAAAATAGCAAACAGGGAATCCTATGCCTCTGGCTTCCAAGGGGATAAGTACTCACATGTA